AATTGAAATGCAAAGAGAAGCACTGGAAAGTGCAAATACAAACACCGCCGTTCTTACTACTATGAAGGGGGCTGCAGACGCAATGAAAGCTGCACATCAACATATGTAAGATTTTTGCATTTTTAGATTTTTATAACCATTAATAAGTTATTAATCTAATATTTGTCTACGAATAGTGCAATATAAACATATTAAAAATTAAAAAGATTTCTTTAAATAGGGAAATAAATATTGAAAATACTGGTTGTATGTATATAATTATTCATTTATTAAATAATTGTAATTATATTTTCGTTATATTTGTACTATACTATAGGGACGTGGATCAAGTACACGATATGATGGACGATATAGCAGAACAACAAGATGTGGCTAGAGAAATTTCAGATGCCATATCTAATCCAGTAGCGTTTGGCCAGGATGCCGATGAAGATGAATTAGAGAAAGAGCTAGAAGAACTTCAACAAGAGCAACTTGACAAAGAATTACTTGGTATCGATACAACGACAGATGAATTACCAGCGGTACCAACTTCAGTTCCCGTTGCACCAAGCAAAACTCGTACAAGTAACTATTATTCTCATAATACATTCTTTATATATTATAAAAATATATAATTATAAAAATAGCTTATCGATGCGTAAAATAATTTGTCAATGCATTGAACATATAAAGAAGCATTACTATGATTTATAATATTAATTTAAGATCTTACAACAATATAATGAAATTTTATTTATAGAAGCTAAACCTGAGGAAGACGACGACTTGAAAGAATTAGAGGCATGGGCATCGTAAAGTGATATTAGAAGAGATGTTACAATCAAAGATACAAGATGGTTTTAGATAAATGTAAATTGTATATTGTTATCACTATGCATAAATTACTATATCGTATCTTGTATTAAATAATCAAATTAATTTTTTTAATATGAGTCTGCAATATTAAGCTTTTTGAACAAAACTACTGATTAATAAGTTTGAGTAAAAATTATATTGTATTTTTATGCTGTGGTAAACATTACTAATAAGTGAACAGAATAAGCAAATATTGCTTACAGTTGATGGTAGAAAGAAAGATTAACGTTATTTTATATTTACAGTAAATATATTACTAACTAATAACCAGATAAAACTTAGGAGGCGATATTGAATACCATTTCATGTAATATATATATATGTATGTATATATACATATACTGTATGTATATTTACATATACACACACACACACACACGCGCACACACACACACACACACACGCTGAATGTAAAAAAATATAATTATGTTCTTGTGTCATAGCAAAAAAAAAAATAGATTGTAAGTATATTATTTCTCCGAAAATATTTTGTGTTATTGTACATATACATAACGATTTAAGAGAGAATTTTCTTTCTTTAAATTGTTAAACACACACATGGCCTTCTAATCTTTGTATAAATATATTTGCTATAAATAAATTTTAGAGATCCAAAAAATTATTAGTTTTAAAATTAATACCATTGATTCAATGATGTATTAAAGACGATGCAAACACAAGTATATTTAAAAAGATACCGCTTATAAGTATTTGCCTACTCTGTCTTTTAAATAAAGAAGAATGAATGAATGAAAATCTTAGTCTTCTTTCTTAATCCTCTAGATATTAGGCTTAATAATGTTTGATAATTCAAAATTTTACTTTCTACATATCTTATTTTAAAAATGTATTTCAAAAAATTAAATTTCCTGGAAAAGGGAAAATTTTTTTTTTCAACTTAACAGAAAATTATTGATTAATCAAATAATATTGACAAAAAGAATATATTCTTTTGCATAATCAATAATAAAAAATTGTATAATCAACTGCAATTTTTGTTATTTTCGTTTCACAGCCTTTAAAAAACCACTTTTGAATTGTGGATAGTTTATAATTTTGACAATAATATTTATCTATCTCATTTGTGACAATAATAATTGGAAATTCACGTTTTTGAATTGCGTCAATTTTGAAGTAAAAGAATATATACACCTATGGACAATGATTCGTCTCTGTAGATACGCCGAATCATTTCAATCATTTTATTCATTTATTAAAATAAATAACATACAGAGTCGTTTAAAATTAAAATATAACTTATATTTTAATTTTATTAGTAATATGATAATGATTAGTAATATGATAATGATTAGTAATATGATAATGATTAGTAATATGATATAATATGATAATTATAATATAATAAAAGTAAAATACAATTCATATTTTAATTTTATTATATTATAAAATAATAAATACATGTATATTACATGTACTACAGTCCCGTGGACATATCGGTTGCGACACTTGCAAACCACGATTGGTGTATGTACAGCTGTCTCTAGACTAAAGATAGTATGTAGTACACCATCGTGATTGGTATTTGCAAAATATTAGTTACCTATAAAATATATATTATATATATATTAATTAAATAGTTCTAAAAATCTATGAAAAAAAGTGTCGCAACCGATATGTCCACGACTGTATGTATGTACATGCGATATACATGTATTTATTATTTTATTATCATAATATAATAAAATTAAAATATAAATTATATTTTAATTTTAATTTAATCTAAAAATTTTAATCATATTAAAATATGAAAATATTAAAATTAAAATAAATAACACATGTACATATAATATATATGTATTTATTATTTTATTATAATATAATAATTTATAATAATAATAAAATAACTAACATGTCCATACAATATATATATGTATTTATTATGTTATTATTATTATAATAAAATAATAAATATACATATATGTTAAATGTGCCATTTATTTTAATAAATGAATAAAATGATTGAAATGATTATCTATAATGGATGTATGTATGGGATGCGTTCAGGAATTCACGATATACCATTTTATCCTTGTCATTCACCGAATGCCAAACAAGGATAAAATAATATCTAGATGCACCTGGGCGAAGTTTCTGAACGCAGCCCAGCTGCAGAGCAGAGTCTGTTTATCTTCTCTGCCAGCTGTCAAACGAACTGAACTAATATCGCAATAGTCGACTGACAGATTTCCTAACCCAAATACCTAGTAGTTAATATTTCGGTTCGCAGGACAAATTGAGGTTTTTTTTCTGCCAGATTCTTTCGTTTTGTGCAAAAATGCGTCAGTTGAGCATAATTTCATTAAAATTGATGGCGGGGAAACTGAACTGTATAATTATCCAAGATACACACAAGTTTTCGTCCGATTACTGAAGAAGTCGAGCAACTACGGTTTAAGAAGTCCTTGCAACTGTGCAAGCAACATTGTGCACGATTAATACTGGTGAATACTGAAATGAACGACCGTTTGAGAATACCGTGTGACGTTGATATACATATTTTTTGCCACATAACCGTAACATGTTGAAAGCACTCTAATAGTTAACAATCGATAACGATGTAAGATAAAATAAAAATTGGAAAGAAGAATCAAGATTTTTATTTAGAAATATCTAATAGACTGACTGATACAAAGCAAAATGGATATAATAAAAGAACATCTACTGATACCAACGAAATACATGATACTGACAGACGAGAGAATTTGTTTGACAGTTCACAGAAACTGGCTCTCTCGACTTTTAACAGTTGGCCCGTTTACTTTTATCAATCATGATCGTTTGTCCAATGACGAAATTGCGGCGCAGCCCACTATCGATGAATTGGGCGGCGATTGGCTGAAAATTTATGCAAAAGTAACATCTTTCATATGTATTTTATGTTGAGTATCAATGAGACATGAAATTAAATTTTTGTTATTACCATTAGGTATACGTAAAGCAACACAGGAATGCAATTCCTTTGCCGAGAGGAAGGCCTACCAATAATACAAGGAACCAAGCGGAGTTAATGTTTTCTCAATTATTGCATTATGTGGCGGAAACTAATTATCGAAATCTATGGAAAGAAACGTATAAGAAATATTACAGTATGCGTTATTTTAAATTTCTTTAAATTATTTAAATTTTTAGACTTAAATTTTTAGCATTTTGTTTGCCGAGTACCTTTATATTAATTAATAATTGCAAAATATGTAGATCCTTGGAATTTTATTGAACAAAAGGAACAGTCCAATATCACCGCTAATGTGAACGACGTTACTATTATGCACGAAATCCTGAACAGAATGTATGGCTGTACTGTGGTACAAGTGCGACATGGTACAGTCTTATCGGTATCAAATGGTATTATACAGTCTGAAACACATTGCAATCTTGTACCAGTCCATTTTGTCATTGAAACACCATCTGCATTTATAATGTTTTATGAGCAGACTGCCAATTATTCACTTCGCGAGTGAGTATTGTATTTATATATATTTTCAATACGTAATAATTATGAAATATTTCTGTATTCTACTACCTATTTATAAATGTTAATTTTAGGTGTGTAATGTACAGTCCTGCTGCTCTTAATGCAAGCTATGGAAAACCATTGTTTGTAGTTTATCAGTTATTGAGATTATCCAGAGACTTGCATGATCGTGGTCTTGCATTAGGAGAGATTACACTAAGTGACATATTAGTTACAGACAATTTTACTATTCAGGTATATATATCGTACAGCTACTTATATAATAGACTAATATTTTAGCACAAGTTATATTTAATACTTAATAAAACAAATATAACAAGTATTTAATAAAATAAGAAGGAAGAATATTTTATCTGATTTAATTTTCTTAGGTATTACCAAAATTAAACGATAATATTTATATAAAACCTGATAGCGATTGTATAAATACTACTCAAGAAAGTAAAGACAAAAGTTTGAATAGTAATATTTATGGTAAAAGAGATGGCGTACCTCGTTCAAATAATACTGACTTTGGTTTAAATGAGAATATTGAGAAGTTATGCGAGATGTGGATGTATAATTGTATCAGCAACTTTGATTATTTAACGGCGCTCAATAATTTGGCTGGTAGGAGATATGGTAATCCCAGCTGTCATCATGTTATGCCGTGGGTAACGGATTTTACATCCAGGAGTGGTGGGAACTGGAGAGATCTAACAAAATCCAAATTTCGATTAAACAAAGGAGATAGACAATTGGATCTTACATTTGATTCGCAGTCAACTGAGGTATAAATTGTGTATAGTTATGTAAAAGACTTATTCCATTCAATTATTTGTTGAATAACCAATATTAAATTATAGGTCGGACACCACGTATCTGACGTTTTGTCAGAGATTACCTATTATGTATATCTTTCACGTCGATATAATAAATCTGTACTTTGTAAACATGTACGACCATTATGGGTACCTGGAGAATATCCGGCTTCAATTCAGAGATTACACGATTGGAGTCCCGATGAATGTATACCACAGTTTTTCACTGATCCCAGTGTTTTTAAGGTAACATATAAATTATTACAATTGGAATGTGGATTTCTAAAACAGGTTTATTCCAATCACTAAATTCAAATCACTCGCTTGTATAAAACAATAATAATGTATTATTAAATATTAACAAGCTAAAAATGAGGATTACTAGGTGTAAAACATTAACTTTATTTCTCCAATGTTAACAATATAGCGATAAACTAGTTTCGATCTTATCAACATTAACTTTCTTTCTTCGATATTAACAATATAGCGATAACTAGTTTCGATTTATAGAGTTTTTCTCAATCGCAAGTTAATTAAACAAATAGTGTTTTCAACCTACCATCTATCTTCTTAAAAATTAAATTTAGGGGATATCCATTACTGATTAACGTTAGTACTACCAAATTGTAATTTTTTTTGTTGAAATGTAGGATTATTTCAATCATTTATCTTATTTACTTTTTTACTCACAACCTTCAACTATCATATAAAGCTGAGGCATATATGGAATGAAGGTCAGGATCGAATTTAGGACCTGCCGACTAAAATTAATTGTTTTCACACGGAATCATACTTATATAATATAAACTATTATTTAACAATGATAAAATATATCTTAGATTCAACATTAAAAAAATAAATGTTTTATTTTACAGTCCATTCATGAGGATTTGCCAGATTTGGAAATTCCAACATGGGCAACTTCTCCAGAAGATTTTATTGAAAAACATAGAGAAGCATTGGAAAGCTTTTATGTTTCGGAAAGATTACATCATTGGATAGATTTGACTTTCGGCTATAAGTACGAATACTGTCTTATCAACTATCAGTCAACTATTTATTATATATTTGAATTTTTCTGACATACGTTTCTTATACGATAGATTATCTGGTTCTGCTGCTATAAAGTCAAAAAACGTTTGTCTACAGTTAGTTGATAATCATACTGATTTAACTAATTCTGGTGTTGTACAACTTTTCCCACAACCACATCCACAAAAAATTATTCCATCTCCCTATTGGGGTAAAGTACCACCGCGTCTTCGACCGATGGCTTTCAATAAAAATAGTAAGTTTTAGACTGGGATTTGAAATTATTATTATAAATTATGAAGATATTTTTATAATTTTGTCAAATTATTATATATTTATAGAAAGTGATCAATCTGTGAATAGAATCAGTGACGATGAAGGCCATAGTTCTGGTATTGAAGAAGAAGAATTATCTGCGACAGTAGCAACAAACGCATCACGATCATCACCTCTTGTATTGAGTCGCTTGTTGAATCGTTCCAGAGGTTCTTTGATAACATTATCAGAGGATAATGTTAAATCGGATAAGTTTATTAATCAGCCTATAATCCTGCCAAAGGATTTCAATCCTATAGCGGCACTTATACAAGTAGAAACTACACATGCTTTCATGCAAAAGATCAGCTATCAAGTTTATAAACTTGCAATGGGATCACACGATTTTTCCACAAATTACAAGCAAATTGTAGCTAGCGGACGTATTAAGGAGCAACAAATACTAGGTTGCCTGATAGTAGAAATATTTCTAGCCGGCAAATTCCGCGCAACCTGGAACGTTGAAAAAGTATTATTCGCACAAAGATTTGCGACATGTCTGAATATCTTGAAAACATCAGCAGATAATTTACCGAAGTGTATAAAAAACATTGTGTCTTTATTGCTACAAATTGATATTATGCCAAAGAGTTATAATGTAGGCAATGTAGAAATGAATGACATTTCAATGGTAATTAAAAAATTTTTTACAAGATGTTTCGTAATTATAGATAAAAATTCAATTGACTAGATAAAATTTTACAAAATTAAGTAGAAAAATCTTATACTGTGAAGTGGCTATTTCAAAGAATTTGATTATTAGCAATTGCAAAATTCGAAAACTCATAAATGGATATGTTTAAAGCAAATTTTCAAAAATTAATGGCATTTTTTAATTTTACATACAGTATATACTTTATGTTATACAACATGTGCGTTTGAAGACTTAGAATTTGTTGCACTATTTAACCCTAATCGCCAGTTCAGCTGATCCGGACATTTTTTTCAATTCTTTAGATAGCGTTGTGAACAGTTGTTTATAAAAAATGTTTTGCATAACTTTACATAATGTTACTTCTTGAATTTTGATCTTTAAAACGAAAAAAAAATCGTTAATTTTAAGCAAAGATACATTAATTTAAAATTTTATCGAATACCTTGAATACGAATACCAGTTAAGGAAATTTCGAAGCAAATATTAATTAGAGTTAAAAACTATTTTCGTTGCATTGTTTAAGTTTGTTGACACTTTCCACAAACTAAGATATTGATTAAAATCATGTTATAATACAGTTTGTTGACACTTTTCACAAACTAAGATATTGATTAAAATCATGTTATAATACAACTAATTGTATAAAGAACGCAACTTATGAAAAGCTGAATATTTTGAAAACAATTTATGGATATATGTTTACTAAGGTTTTCTTTATTTGTTTTTATAAGTTTTAATCAATTTTTTATCTATAATTCTGAAAAGATCTTATATTTTATTAAGATACATATTGCGAAATTTATTATAATATACATGTGACAAATTTTATGTTTAGATGAATGAGACTCCTTTTCGTTATCCAACAATAACATATATGGGCCTTCCACCACCATCTGCTCATCAGTTTCTTCAACCAATTTTATCTGGCAGTCTGTTCCCATTCTCCAAATATTGCCAATACTTGTATAATATTGTGCAAATGTTGCAAGAATACAATGGTTTGGTACGAGAACTAAATTCTATTGTAAAGATCGAGGATGATGTAGATTTTACAATAAAAACAAGGACGAAGTATCTGTGCAAAATTAGTGAGTGTAAAGTAAAAGCAATTGCTAGAGAATTGGAACGGCTGTTACCTTACGCCGGTGGTATGAGAGAAGCTACTTTGCAGTTGATAGTTCCTCATATAGTGCAGATTATAGAAGAACCTTATAGTGCAGTATTAGCAGTATGGCATCTTTTTGATCCCATTGCAAAGTGAGTTATTACAATTTTACGCTTTTGACAAATGTTTTATTAGATTCCTTTGATTTTTTTCCATTTTCTATTTCAGAACGTTGGGACCGAAGGATACAGTCGATATATTCCTCTTACCTATTATAAAACTATATGAGAACGGTTCTATCATGGATACTGCATTGTATACTGATATAATACCTGCGGGAACACTTGCAAAGTTTCGAACTACTCGACTGTATCACAGAACGTTCCTGCTGAAGCTGATAGTTCGGTTAGGTCTACGTAGATTCCTAGACAATTTTATAAATTCTTTGGTAGAAGCAGTAGGAGGATACAAAGATTATGTACAGGGCTCGATTGATACATGCACACATAGGACTGTGAATTTGAAGTAAGGAAAGGGATATTAGTTATAATTTATAATTATATTTTAATCATATATCATATTACTATATTGCTTATAAATTTTTATGAAGGAGTTGCGACTTAAGTGGACCTTGCAGTGAAGGGGAAGGTATTTTGTCTCCATTAGATGAAGATTCATTTGCAGACACTGAACAAAATGTCGCTGCACCTTCTGTACCAACGATCGATGATCATACGTCTAACGTTACAACAGATAATGATATCGAAGGTAATTAATGTTATTTTATTGCCGAATAAATCGTCAATGATTTAATAAATATCTGAAAAAAATTGTCTAATAACTCACGTACTAACGTATTACAGAAGTATTTACCATGGAAACGGAGGATAATGCATGGATCTCTTTAAACAATACCGCACCATATGACATCGACTTACATATAGATCTCAACTTGAATGTTTGCGATGATATAAATGACGATGGAAACAAAAATTCGCCGGGTGGCTCCGTGAAATCGCCAACGATTCCAATACCTAAACAATCAAATACTAGTGGAGTTAAATTAGTAACCGAGTTTAATAGTATCGGTTGCAACGTTGGAAGTAAAACTTCCAGTGAAGATTTCACTTATGTTAGCGCATATGCCACAAATATCCATTCCGATAGTAATTTCTCGGAAAATATATGTAATATAGATGCTAAGGAAGATAATCCTGCTATGCTTTCCGTGGAGCTCGATAATAAAAGCGATGTTATCAAATCCGATAAAAGTGTACATCAGTTGGATCATATTTATCGAAAATCTGTCCTGAGTGAATGCACAATTTCGGAGATGAGTGCAGAATCTGTTATCTGGTTATCCCATAGACTCGGCCCGGTTCTCACAGCACGATATCTGTCGCGAAATCTTCTGAGAATGCTAACATTATGTTACGCTGGGAAAGAAAATTTGACACCAATCGGTGACAATAATTTCATGCATCTGGAAGGCGTTACATGGAAGAAACCAATATTAGCCGGTGATCAAAACGCCATTAAGGTTTTAGAGTGTCTCACGGCTATCGCAGGTATGTACAAAAAAATTAGTTATTTTAATTTCTAAAGTAAGTAATGAAATGGTTTATTAATCAACCATTTTATCAGGATTATATGGAGAACAAATTATATTGTTGCAATATTTTGCACACATAGTCGAGCTATTAGCATTGTGCAAGAGAAAATTAACGCAGAATTTGGAAGGAGGCCTAATTTCCTGTCTGGCTCTATTAAATCACATTACAGCATATCTCAGTGATTCTACGGTGATGGATGTGCTTCATGTAATGTTTATTATATAATTACTATACGTTAATAATATAATTAAAAAGTCTGCAACAGTCCATATTAATCTCCAATTTGTCCACATTTGAATGTAGGAGCCGATTGTTAAGTCCATATTGCATCCCACAGTACGTATATTGTCAACTGCGAGATTTACATTTCCAAATGGAACGCTTGCGCGTATTGCTTTAGCCGAAAAATGCTTGGAAGCAATGTTCATTCTTAGCTTACGGCTTGGCAGTGTGATCACAAAAAATCATTTAGCAGTGCCAATTCAACGCTTTTTTCTGGCCTTTGACAAAGCTTTCAGTGAAAATTTAGATGATGGAGTTTCATCAAATCTTGGGCAGAAAGCAGGCACGACCTACGAACATTTTGTGCGGTAATAATATGGAGAGCATTAATTTAGTGATTAATTACATGGCACATACGTTATATGTTAAGAGAAAATAGAAGGTTTGTATGGCGAATTGTGAATTCATGTCAGAAAAAAGAATAAATGGACACGGTTTCTATTTAGATGTTATTTATTATTATATTTGAGATGCAGAAAATTAATTTAATAATACAAACTACATATAATTTAGTAATACAAAAATGATTAAAAATATAGGAATTTTCTGTCGTCGAAGACAGAAAATTTTTAATGCTTCGCGTTTTACCATGTTTCTATAACTTCCAAGGAATCTAATTTTTGGTCTAGTTTTCCTTAAGACACTTTTTTTACTAGATTGAACTAAAATAGACCATTAGAAGAATGTTATAATACAAAAAGGTAACAGCATGAATGTGTAAAATTCTAACTTTCATGTAAGAATTAACGTTATTTACGTTGTAACCATTTTGTAATATTTTTATAATGTCTATTTAAATTCAATCTGTAAAAGGAAATATCTTGAGGATTAAATTAGAAAATAGCAGATAGACTAAAATAACTAGAAAATAGCAGAAGCTTTCTTAGAAGTCACAAAACATTAAAATTTTCGGAACTATCTTCAATGACAGAACACTCTTATATTTTTTATATAATAAATTTTGTATTATAAGTTAATTTTTTACATCTTAATCCGTAAAGCACAGGGTGCGAATTCGCACCAAGCGAATTTTTTTAAAGTTTTATATCTTCTAAAAATAAAAAGCAAAATTAAAGCAAATGTGTTTCTCAATGTAAAATTGTCTGACCAATCGATTGGAGATAGGAAGAGC